AAGTGATGTATCATTATTATCATGGTGGTTTACAGAAGTTCAGACCAACAGAATATGCATGCATATTTCCACCAAATATTGTTAGGCAGTGAAACAGTGTTATCAGGGGATTGAATATTCTTTTGATAAATATTCCCAGTGAGGGGGTCAAAAATGTAAATCGACTCCTATTCAGACAAACTGGGGATTTTTTTTTCATGATAAATGGGCTCCTAATTACTCTGCTACAGCCATCTTTGATGGTAGGTTTGTTGTTTGTTGTTTTTTTTTTTTTAATGTGAAAAAGAGTGGTATTATTCATTTTACTAAAATGCTTGGAAGTGGACTCTGGAATCACAGGTATATAATAAATATATAAATTTGAGAATGGAGGTACCAGATATAAAAATAGTAATACTAAAATAGAAAAGCGAACTGAAAATAGCAGGAATTAATTCTCTTATTGCAAACATTTCTTTTCAGGGTGCTTTGATTTACATTTGAACTGTGTCTTGTAACACCAAGTTTTGTGTCTTTTCTTAACTTTTGCCACATTCCTGTTATTTTTGCGTTATTTGTGTTTGGTGGTTTCATTGCTGAGACAATATCTCCTTTGTTGTGACAAAACAGTTTTCAGACAGAGGTTCAAAACTCTTCAGGAACTCAGTACTCTGGGAGATAATTCTTGGTACAAAGGAAAAACATTTGAGTGCATAAAATAGAAAATAGAAGAAATTTATTTGTCTGGTGTGTGCTTTACTTACCTGTCTGTTCCCATGCCCATCCTAGATCACAACAGTGTCAGGAAATGAGTTCCTTCTCCAGTCGGATATCGACTTCCTCATATTGGATTGGTTCCACGCTATCAAAAATGCAATTGACAGATTGGTATGTATTTGTTTTGGCTGTTACCTTTATTAATTAAGATGTAGCAATTTCAACTTCATTTGCTTAGACATCTCTACAGGTTTTAGGCAGTCAGCAGCTAGCTAGACATTCCTTTCTCTGAAGGGTATAAAAATATGTATGCAAATCTCCTAAAAAATGTCAGATAAACAAGGTTGTTGAACAAAAATGTCATTTGATTCTTGCCTCGAAATGGAACGCTACATTTATTTCTCTGAAATAACAAGGGCATTGGTTTGCTGAGGGTTGTAAAAGCACACAAGCACTTAATAACTAATGAATTTTTGCATTTTTCTGTTTATGCAGCCTACAGTATATAATCTTCAATAGAACTATTAATACATTTGAGCCTTTTATGAATTTTTGTATTACTTATTCACAAGAATAACACTAGAAAATAATATTCCTTTGTAACTGATTGCTGTTATTCTCCCAGGAAGACTGGGGGTTTTCTACTAGAAGTAAGCAGGGTTGCGTTTTATTAAAACAGTTTTTAATTACCAAACCAGATTCAGCTGTAGCTTTTTCTTTCTTTTTTGCCACTCTCAGTACAAATTCCAAATGTCTTCCTCCTATCCCTGCCTGATCCAAGAACTTATTTTTTTAGAGGACACTGACTTCCCTTGTTCACTGCAGAATCTGGTGAGAGAAAAATATCCCCATTTCTTGCATTTTTCAGAGGTTTTGCTGCAGTGGAATTGGCAGAGGCAGCTTCTTTGAAAGGGTTAATCTGAACACAGCTACTGTTTCCTTAAAGAGCTACAAACACTATATTACCCTGAGGCTATAATCAGCCAAGGAAAGTTTGATCTGATGATGTATGTCTTCATATTGTGCATTTCATTGGGTGTGTGAGGATATTGATATCCTACTGAAGAGATTTTGGGGTGGAGTTTTCCATGGAGACTCAAAAAAAATTTTTTTTCTTTTTTTACATATTATTCAACTAAACATCTAACAGATTTTATTCTTATTTTTATTGCAACTAAAGTAATATTGTGGCTTTAGCAGCTCTGAATGTGCAGCAAACCACAGCAGCAGTGGCTGGTGGGGCACAAGTTGGAAATGGTTTGGGTACTGGAGGGCAGGGCTCGTCCTGGAGAAGGTTTGCCTTTGCTGTGTGCACAGGACAGGATGTCACCAAGCAGCACTCAGTCACCATTTCCCACACATCATTTATTTCAGTTTTACAACTTTGAATGAGTGTGTAAAGCCTTACAGCTTTCCAGGCTATGGGCATGGCTAAATTTCACCTGACCAAATGCCTTGGGAAAAGATATGCGATTAGGTAAAATATCATCTCAGGTTTTATATTCTTTTTTTCTTTTTTTTTTTTCTTTCTTCCATTAAAATTCCCTAATTGTCACTTTATATGCCAGTGAATTAGAAAAAGAGAAAAGTCCCCCTTTTTCTTTCCTAAGCTGAGACCAGCAGAATTCAACACCAAATTTGTAAGCGTGCTTGAAACAATTATGTTTGCAAGAATATTCACTGTAACTGTCTAAACCAGAAAAGAAATTTAAACAACCTTCCCCTTTACAAGCATTTGGAAGTAGCCTGAAATGTGGAAATAATTTTTAGTCTCTAAAACCTAAAGAAATAGGCCTTTTGTTTTCCTCATTTAAATGGGAATTTATCTCAGAAATTAAGATCAGTCTGTCAGGGCCATAAAAGCTCTGCCATATGACAAATTTTGCATTACACTTTCCTTAAATTATATACTCACTGCATCACTTGCTCTGTGTATGTCTGTGGCTCTGTGTTAGCTTCTGATTTGTGGCATTCTGTAATCTCTTGCTTCATTCTTACAAGTAATAATTTTATTAAAAGCACACACACATGTATATATATATATATTTTTTTTTTTCTTTCTTTCTTTTCCCAGCCAAAAGAACCGGTTTGTACATCGAGAAATTTGGAGTTCAAACTCAAAAGATCCTCCAGCATCGAATTACTGAATAGCTTAGACACTGAATCCAAAGAACCAAAGCCTGAACACAGAAAATCTTTAAGTAAAGCTTTTTTCTTTTCTGATTTTTTTTATTTTCTTTTTTTCTTTCCTTTTTAAATAGCTATGCCATTACAGGGTAAGATAATTTTTATTACATACAGAATGGAAGGAAGATCACTGAGAATTTTAAATCTGAATGTGTTCCGTGCTGATATACATAACTTGCATTTAAGTAAAGACAGTTACTAGCTCCAGACTTTTAAAGGGTGACATTTTCTCCTAAGCAAAATAAATTTGTTTAGGAGCAAAGACATTTATTCAAGCTCTCTATTTTTAAAAATAAGCAACATGAGTCCTATGCTAATGGTCTGTTGCAGTTGCTTTGTTTCCATTTTAGTAAAATACCTCAAATTGCCAGAGTAATTTTGTCTGTTGTGTATTTATACACTGAATTGCTGAAAGACCTGACATCTCCTCTACAGCCGACAATCAGTGTTATATCTATAATTTTATAGAAGGTAAATTCGAGGGATCGAGGTTGATTTTTGTCAGTGTGATTGGAAAAGAAAGTGATCTAAAACTAGCAGGGATGCGCTTTACTCCACTGAGACTTTCCTTTTCCAGTTTGTGCTGAGATGCTCATGATATTGTGGGCAGCAGACACGGGAGCTGCTGGTGACCCTGAATCACTCATTCAGCGTTATTTTTTTTTTTTTTAATTTCACCCTCTCTCTTGAATTTTTATTTTTCTTCTTTGTTTGGCAGGAGATTCACATACTGCTTCTAACGTAAACACCGTGACAGCTTTAGACTGGCAGGCTGGGACCAGATAACTATAGGTACCACAGTGCTGTGTAGGAATTTGCCTGCACGCATTTCAGTGCAGGATCAAAGCTTTAGATGTTAAGAAAAGACTTGCATTAGAGAGACCCAGCGTAGCTATTTTTAATGATAATTATCCACGCAATCATAAATACAAGAACACACGCGTGCGCCTGTACGCACACAAATACAGAGATTCATTAAATAGTCTCTTTTTGCAGGCTGAAGATTTTTGTTGTTGTTGTTTTCCTATTATCTTGGAGATTTGGGGGGGGTTTTAAGGTTTTTTTTTTTTCTTTCTGTTATAAAATATAAAGTAGCCTGAATGTAGCTTGTGAAAAATTGTCCCAATATCTTTGTTCTGTGTATTACGTTGCATTTCTCAAAGGAAGAAAAAATAAGACTGAGAGCATGGTAAGTTTTGAGGGCCTGATCCTGCTCTTATTGTAGCTAATAGCAAAATGCCCATAAACTGTTGCAGCACTCGGGGAATTTTTATTTATTTATTTAGACTTCTCACATATCTTTAAATGATAATTTGTCAGACAAAACAGAAAGAGTGAATATGAGCAGTGACAGAGACTTAGTCTACATTTCTTTTCAGACCTTAGAGAATCCTGAATAACCTCCGTTTTGTTAAAGGCTATTTAAACTATTAAAAAATGCAAAAATATCTGCTGTGAAATCTCACAGAATCGAAGCTTGCATTTAAATACTGTAGATTGGATTGCTTCTAAAATATGTATTCAGAACTTTTTTTTGGCCCCTCGAGATCAAGCAATTATGTGGAATTAGAAAAATCATATTATTCACTTACTTATTAGTAGTCTAAGCACAAACTGTATTGTCAGTTTTCTGCCTTTGGCTTTCTGTGCCCTTAATGTTCACACAAGTATCGTAGCCAGAATTATCGGCAGCTAGAGCCAAAATTGCTTTAAAAAGGCATGAGAACTGGTAATGACACATTGTTAGCAGTTAACAGGTGGTCGTTTCATTGTCCAGTTTGACTGCAGAGCACAGAGAAGATATGTGCAATATCTGCGAGCGTGTTTATAAAGTTCTTCCAAAGTTTAACGATTTTATAATTTTATAGTGCTCTTATATTATTGACTACTGCCAATGCCAAATCCAAACAAAGGCAGTTTTTTGAAGATGGCTTAAAACTCCTCCAGTTTAACACAGAAGACGAGTAACTGATGTGTTAGCAGGCCACCACCCCACTTGATAGTCTTTAATGAAATATTCAGACAGTTCAGTCTCATTTGTATTTACCTTCTTTACATTTTAAGGGCTGCAAAAAATGTCCAGTTTTAAATTTGTTGCTGTTGTGGTTTTGGGGTTTTTTAGTAGCACAAGTATATAAAAGACAGGTATATTCCAACCAAAGTATTCCAGTAATTTACTCTTTAATTTAAAACTGGGGAGACTCCCCCTAGAGACTCAGTAGCAAGAATTTGGTTTTTATGTTTAATCTTAATTGCTTCTGCTTCCACTACAAGGACAAATGGTAATTCTCGGTTATGCTTTTTGAGCTGTAGACTCTGATTTCATTGAAAATTGGGCTCCAACTGCCAGGCTCAATTTCCAGAGTTCACAGAGTGTCCGTCTTCTTGGTCACGCAGCTTTTCAGTGGCTTCTCATCTAGTTTGGATTCAACTCATGTTCTAATTGCAGTTTTCTTGAGCTAAAAAGAAACCAAGGGATGGCCTTGGGGATCATTACCAAAATATGTAAAACCATGATCCTGCTCTCAAATACATGGAAAAAAATTATTCTTTACTTTATGATGCCAACTATTTCACTGATTTAATTTATGCAGCTAATGCTGAGTCAGAAAGGACATATTTTTCACCCTAGCAACCTCCCCCATTAGAAGATGTATACATTTGGTGCAAGGAAACTGCCACGTGGCACCACTCCCTTTTATTCAAATAAGTGTTGTTCTACACTGATAATCTTTAAAATTAATGGCAGACTTCATAATTTCCAAGTAATTTCATTATCATTCCAACTGTAGGTTTTTGGGTTTTTTTCTCCTACGATTGCCAAAAAACCTCCTAATTAGTACCAGTTATAATTGGGTCTGCTGGTAGGTGGTCTGTCACGTTAATTTTATACCACATGAAACCAGGCACCTGGGTTAGGCTGAAAGTAGAGATGCTGTCACGGCACATGGGAGGTAGGGAAATGATCTGTGCATTGCAAGGTTCCCAGAAATTGTTCAGCTTTCCAAAATCCAAAACACGTTACTGTGTGTATGGACTACAGGAGCTGTCAGAACAGTCACGTTGTGAGCACTTATATGTTCTATGCTCTCACTAAACTCAGCATTTCTTTTTCTGTCCATGGTAACTTTGTGATTTACATTTTGGCCATCATCTAGGAATACAAGGAGGTTGAGGGGAAACTGTATTGCTCTCTGAAACTACCTGAAAAGAGGTTGTAGTGAGGTGCATCTTGGTCTCCTCCTGAGTAACAAGTAATAGGACAACAGGAAACAACATCAAGTTGCACCAGGGGCGGTTTAGATTGGATATTTGAAAAAAATTCTTCACCCAAAGGATTGTCAAGTATTGGAACAGGCTGCCCAGGGCAATGGTGGAGTCACCATCCTTGGAGGTAGCTAAAACATGTGTACATGTGGTGCCTAGCAACATCGTTTAATGGTGGACCTGGCAGAGTGAGGTTTTCTGTTGAACTCAATGATCTTAAAGGTCTTTTCCAATCAAAACCATTGTGTGATTCTATGATTCTATGAATACTGTCACTCAGGAGTGACCTCTTGTGGAAGAGGCTAGGCTGGAGTTGCTATTGATTGTTGGAGGGGATCAATTCCCCTTCTACTCCCCCTTTTCCAGATGGAAACAAACTGCTTTGCAGTAAGAAGAGTGCCCTTTGGCTACCGTATCAATCTGAGGGCTGCTCTTGTCAAAATGCACAATCACAAGCTTGATAATGCAATTCATTCCCAAAGCACTATATTTCCAACCTGTTCTCCATCATTTCCTTATGGCGTCACATTTACTCAGTTCATCACATTCTTATTAATATTTTAGGTTTCCTTGAAAGTGATGGAATTCTATTTTTATTACAAAAGCAACAAGAATAAATACTAATTGTTGTCAGTTATTTCCTTATGTAGTGGGAACAGTAATCTGTTCCTCGGCTTTAGGTTGCCAAAGCAAAATAATTAAATATTTTAGACATTTAAAAAATCTGTGATATTAGATAAATGCAATTTGATCTCCTTGTTTGCCACATAAAAGCTGGAACTGCCTGAATTGATAAGATTGAATTGCATTATTTTTATTGTTTCTACTTGCATATTTTTCTTATCTTCAAGAACAATTTACTTAAAACCCCATGGTTAGTCATGCAGCCCTGCGATGACAGATCCTGGAAAATCTCCTCCATATTTGAATTCTAGCTTGGGGAGCCAAAATTATAGCATCAAAATATATTAAATATATATATATATATGTGTGAAAAGGAAAGTCTTGATGAGCTTTGCAGTATTATTGCAATTCATGACCACTTTATTGTCTCAGTAAGAGTAGTTGGCGATCAGGGCATCGTTGTGCCAGACACAATGCGACATCGAAGACAGACAATTCCAGCTCTCAGCCTGAATATAAGGACAAGTTGCAACAGGTGGAAAAAGAGGACAAAAGCAGGGGGTGGAAGGAAAAGTTGACAGCAAAGCTGATGTGTCATGCATATTAAACAGCAGGCTTGAGATTCCTTTCCACTCTTCGTTAGGATCGTGGTCTTAGCCTCAGCACCCTGGCCACCGGCCAACTCAAATAATATTTTCCTTACCTAAATTCCTCTTACACTTTCAACAGGGTAATGTGGGTCTTTTTTAGCTCCAAAGGGTGATGTGTTGCTCTGTGTTGTCACAGCCCTCGTACAATTCCCCAGGGAATGGCCGCAGGACAGTGTCCAGCAATATCCTGCCTTGCATCTTTTTAATCAAGAAAAAAATAATAACCTCTGGATCAGAATCTTGATTTGCCTTCAGATGTCTGCTACAAAGTCATCTGGACTCTGAAATCTGTTTCAATTTCTTAAAAGATTCAGTTTGTCAGGCACCCCATCCTGAGTATTGTGCACATGCAAGGACTGTGCGTGTGCTTCAAACTTGCCCAAAGTTGCTTTTCTCATTTCACTCACTTTACTTCAGAAGGCTAAATTTTGAAACTCGAAGCATGGCATATAGATATTCCTAATTACTAAAAC